AGCGAAGTCTTCGTAATACCTTGCCTTACGGGAGGCCCACAATTGTGCAGTCACTATGTTATTATGACGATGATGATGCAAGGCCAAACATCCTAAAATCGAACATCACCTGTTTATAAGATCACTGTGCTCTCGAGAGATATTATCGAACTGTTTGTGATTATTTTTAGCCGATGCATTGTATTTGTGTCATGCACAATATGTATTATGTCACGCTTTATTATATATATATATATATTAAAATTTATATCACGTGCGCTAAAACTGTTACACCTCAAATTATCAAATTATATTGCGATTATATATTCTTAATCATAAAGACAGATCATCGTTTGAAATTATTACTTTGATATAAAGTATACTTTTAATTATAGTAACACTATTTCTACTACGTGTAGTATCTTCTGGCTTTCACTCGTGTCTCCATTCTAGCGTATCGTGTTGATTACATAGCAAATATGAGTAATGGGAATAGTGCAAGAGGAGAAGTGGTAATTAACCGAGAGAAACCAATGCATAAAATAAATTGTATTATAATGACAATGTACTTTGAACATCGAAAATGTCTTAATGTTTCCTTGTATGGTTCTTTTGACCTTTGTTTCTTTTTCTGTCATTTTTTTGGCGTTTTTTCTCCAGAAGTTTGCGTGCCTTCAAGACTTGTTCGGATCGCTTCAGCTTCTTTATTTTAATCTTGTCTTTAAGCTTCTGGTTGTGCCGCGCCCAATGCGTATTTGTAGTAGTTCGTACTGAAACACGTAAGTGAAGTACGTCAATTATTTTCATGAGTGATGTTTAGAACAAATTAAATGCACGGAAATAAAAATTTATAAAAGAAATATTTTTAAATACATCAATTAAATATATGTAGTGTATTGTTTAGATTAATTCAGATGAAATATATTTTTGCGATCATGTTAACTTACAATTTTTCGATTGTGAAAGTTCTTCCTCACTATCATCTTCACTGTCATTTTCGTCGATTTTACTCTTCTCCTTCCACACATTGTAACGATTTGTTTTGTACGTAGCAGGTATCCATACTCCCGATTCAGTGCGTATTTTTTGCCTTCGGATCCTGTTGATATAATGTAGAATATATGTATATTCATGTTTCACGATAAATAGAGATGATGTATAAGCTAATGTATATATCCTCTCAATGGTGATCATCTTTTCCTATCCCATTTTGTCAATTGCGTTTGAAGATGTTGACTCTCTTCATTATCAGCTGTTAAATCCATCTGCGCCTTGTCAACTTCAGTGGCAAACGTGTTAACTGCTAAACTATAAGATAAACAAACGTAGAGAATAAACAATAATAGAAAATTAAAAATATTTTTTAAATTATATATTTATTTTTAATGAATTAAAATATATATTAATAATAATTTTAATTCTTTTTTGTAATAATTTAAAAAAATAAGTTATGAAAACCGAAATACCTTACCCATCCTCCGTATGTTTATCTGATGCAGAGTAAGGTATATAATATTCTTCATCCTGTTTCGTTAAACGTTTCTTCTTTTTTGAAAGTTTATATAAATCGTCACTACTTCTTTTCTTTGGAACTATCGTTCTAAATGCAGTATTAATTTCTTTCGTGTTGCTGGATGGTAGATTGACTTTTTGAGATAATTCTACAAAAATTAAAAAGTTTAACGTAAATATTGTCACATATATATGGTATTTAAGTATATATTGCTATCATAACATCTACCTGATGTCATATTGATTTTATCGGTTTTATGGTCTTCCATCTTTTTATGGAAATTAAGAATATTTTCCTTATGAAACATTCGTTTTGCTTTCATCACTTGATAATCGGTTGAATTTGTCTTCGTGCCAATTTCAAATATCGTCTGTTAAAAGATTTAGATATTAAAAGCGATATTTAGATTTAGATATTAAATTTAGATATTGAAGCTGTTGGTTGGTAATACTGCTCGAGTTTAGTATTGGTTTTAGTTTTTAGTTTAAAGTTAACATTTTGAAGAAGGAGAAAATCGAAAACATTGGAGTTCTTAAAATTCGTTACTCTTCCTCAGAAGATTTTGTTTTGTTTTTGGAGAACCTTCTTTTCTTAGACGCTCTGTAAGCTGCGTGCGGGTGAGCTCACCAATTTTATGCGTTGTATGTTTTGTTAATTAACATTATGTAATTGAATATTATAATATCTGGAGACACGGTAGTGTCTCGGCGCTAAGCCAAGCGCAGCGACACTGCCGTGCCTCCTTTACGCGAACC